AACAAATAAAATTTCCACATCAATTTAGAGCTATTGAAGAAGACAGAAAACTAGGATAAAACTTGGCACTCAAGATTTTAATAAAATCACACATACAGATACAAACATAAACTCTGGGAGTTAATATGACTTTTAAAAATGTCACTGGATGATCTAAAGAGGAGACACATCACTGATTTTCCTTAAAAGTGACATGGAGTTATCATGCCATAAGCAAAAAGATTAAGAAGCAGAAATTAGGAGGGAAAATAAAAAGGACTTGGAAGTTAGATCTAGAACATTTAGTGTGAATAATTGGAGATCCAAAAAAGAGAATTAAAAGCGAAGACAAAAATTATGTATTAAAAAATTTCTCTTAACTAAAGGAAAACCTGAGTTGCAGATTGAAAGGACTTATTGATCTTAATGAGAATAGACACAGAAATGCAGAAATTCTGGGAAAATCCCTGAATTACAAAACCATAGAGAAAAGTCTTCCAAACTTTTCAGGCAGAAGTTGCTACAATAAAAATAATAGTATTGGTACCAGCATCCAATTTTTCATTTGCAACAACAGAATAAAAATGATATAATGATATAGCTATACTGCTAAGAAGAATGATTGAAACTCAAGCATCTAATATATAATTTATCTGACAAGGTTATAAAAGATATTTTGGATAACAAGGAAAGACTGAGATTAATTATTATTCAAGCATCCCATCTGAAGAATATACTAGAGAATTACTCCAATAAAAAAAAAAAAAAGAATAAAAACCATGACCTCAGGTTGGGAAAATGACAGAAAGTTATGAACACCAAACCTTTCAATATATATTTATACCCATACATACATGCATAGCATAGTTAAAGCTACGTGATTAAGGATAGGCTATCCAGATACATATAAATCCTCCCATACACATTCACATTCTCAAATCCACACACACACACATATATATATATAAATAAAGTACCTTGAAATATGGGAAAGTATAATGTAATATAATATACTACTGATGTTTCTTTCTTTAGTAATAACACTATCTACAGATATGAAGCCAGGTTATCTTTAAAAAAATAAATTCCACAAAATTGATCTAACTCGTTATGGTATGTCTGTCCTGGGTTCCTTCTGTTACCCTTGCCTGGTGGTGCTCAGGTCAAAACTTTGACAAGAAAAACTAGTGGTGTCTAGTTGCTCTTTTTGTCCAACAGCTAAAACTTTTATTTTACCTGTAATTTTTTCTCCAGTATTTTAGCCTTGCAAAAGTCCTGGGTTACACAAGCAAGGGTATCTTCCTTTATGAGACAAGTGCTCGGGCCTGGTGCACTGGGAAGACCCAGAGGGATCGGGTGGAGAGGGAGGTGGGAGGGGGGACCAGGATGGGGAATACATGTAAATCCATGGCTAATTCATTTCAATGTATGACAAAAACTACTGTAATGATGTAAAGTAATTAGCCTCCAACTAATAAAAATAAATGGAAAAAAAATAAAAATTAAAAAAAAAAAGAAAAACCAAAATAAATAAATAAATAAATAAATAAAAGAAGAAGAAAAAGAAACAGATACCGTCTGAATACAAAATTTAAAAAATAAAGTCATCTTTCAAGTACCTTTTAATTGATAATCCTTTAGTGGGGTTGTGCCAAGCTTATTTTACTTCAGTGTATTTAGGAATCTACCTAAAATTCCACATGCATAAAGCTATTTGATATTTCACATAATCAACTTGGCCAATATAGCTATGTGTGTCAGAGAGATGTTTATGATGATTATAATAATGCAAATGCATGTCCCTTGAGTTTAGGTCTTTTTAGAGGTCTTTTCCATAGCAAACCTTATTTTTGCAATTTTAAACTCATGAAAAAAATTTTGTAAGCTCAAATAGCTCCCAGTGCATTTGCTGAAAATCTCAAAGTTAGACCATTTTTCTTGAAGGTACAGCTTTTTGTCAAGCCAGAAGAAATAAAGATACAAAATTTATCTCATTATGAAATGAAGTTTAATAGGAGAAAAAGTAACAACCTGTAATAAGATTCAAGAATTCCACCCCATGAGTTTATAGGGGAGACAATGCTTGACCTGTTTTCTCTTAAGATCTATGACTGGGCCTGGGAATTAAATTTACTTAAGACATATTAACAGGAGAAAAACATAAAGATTTGTAAATGTATATGTGGCCCCCATAGGAAACTGAAGACCCAAAACACAGGTAGGCCCAAGTATTTATATACGAATTTGAACAAAGAGTGGCGATTGTGAAGAAGTAATAAAATGTATGAGGAGAGTGTCTGTTAACAATGTTTGTAGGTACAGATTTCTCTGGGCTGGACTGCTTATCTCTGGTCATAAGTAAATAATCCTTATGCCAAAGTGGCATATTTGGGAGTGGCATATTTTTTCACCCTTCAAAAGAAGCTTCAGAGTATGTTGGTTACCTTTAATGACAATAAGGACGTGTTTAGTTACCATGACATTTGGTAAAACTCAGTGGCGTAAGATGTCAGCCAGCTATGGACATGCATCCTTAGCTGAAGCCAGTTCAAGTCATCTTTTATCACAAGGTGATGGTGTTCAGTTGCTCAGTTGTGTCTGACTCTTTGTGACCCTGTGGACCGCAGCGCACCAGGATTCTCTGTCCTTCACCATCTCCCGGAGTTTGCTCAAACTCAGGTCCATTGAGTCGGCGATGCCATCCAACCATCGCATCCTCTGTCGTCCCCTTCTCCTGCCTTCAGTCTTCCCCAGAATCACAAGGAGGGACCTCTGAATTTCTCAGAACACACCTTGAGAGGGCCATATTTTATAAATGTCAACAGCCAGACTGTCCACAGAAGGGTGGCGGTAGGACTAAGTGTATTCTTTGATTATAAAGTATATATTGCACGTGTCCTGTGTTACAGACTCTAAGCTAAGTGCAGGGGAAGACGAGAATAAAGCGCACTGTCCACCAGGAGCTTCCCCGTGCTGCATGAGGGAGATGGATGAGCTAAAGACAGTGACCTTCTGTAACTGATGCTCCGGATAAAGCCAGCTGGCAAAGCTCGCTGCCAGCGAGGTTACACTCCTGGCTTCAGAGTTCAAACGCTCCTATTCAAAAGTTCTCGCCAACGGCTTACTAGTGGCATAGCATGAGGCACGTCACTAAATCCTGCTCTAAATGCTCACTTTATTTTTATGATAACAATAGCCCTTTATTTTTCAGTGTCTAGCCCACTCCAGTACTCTTGCCTGGAGAATCCCACGGATGGAGGAGCCGGGTGGGCTGTAGTCCATGGGGTCACAAAGAGTCAGACACGACTGAGCAACTTCACTTTCACTTTTCACTTTCATGCATTGGAGAAGGAAATGGCAACCCACTCCAGTGTTCTTGCCTGGAGAATCCCAGGGACGGGGGAGCCTGGTGGGCTGCCGTCTATGGGGTCGCACAGAGTCGGACACAACTGAGCGACTTAGCAGCAGCAGCATGTATGTACTGGATGACACATGTCCCATAAAAGCTATTTATTATTATTTATTTTCATCAGGAAATGGAGACAAAAGAGCAGTGCTCCTCAAAAACTCAAACTCAAGGGAAATAAAGGCTGTCCTCTGAGAGTTTATCCATAGCATCATGATTGATTCAGAGCTCAGATTTTCAGGGTAAACTTAAAGGCTGACTATTATGCCAGCCTCCTGGAGGAGGGCACAACATCCAGCTCCAGTGTTCTTGCCTGGAGAATCCCATGGACAGAGGAGCCTGGTGAGCTACAGTCCAGGGGTCACAAAGAGTGGGACCTAAGTCACGACAGAAGTGACTTAGCATGCATGCATTATGCCAGCCAAAACACTTCCAGAATATATACACATATTCTATGGCAGGTACATGCATTCATTAAAGAAGAAAGAATAATATAATGACCCCCACTTACTTGTCCCTTAATTTAACTTCAAATAGGAACAAAAGTACTCAGGGTGGTTTGAACATTAAAAAATAACCTCTATAAATCGCTTAACACAATGCCCAGACTATGGGAGTCATTTGGTAAATTCTTGGTAACTGTTTATGATTGCTTGAAAAAGAAGAGACCATGAACCTTTCTACACATGATGAAGCAGGAAGGAGTCTGACAGCAGATGCCAAAGTTGCCTCACACAGAGGGGGATGCAGACTCTTCCATCCCTGACTGACACATTTAAACTTGAAGTCTTGGGTCAGATTTCATGCCCACTGAACACGTGCACTGCAGGATGCAGGCATCACCAAAGGGACGGAATTGATGCTCTGCTCGCCTGTGTCAACCGTGGCTCTTCTTTAGGCCTTAATAACCAACCTCTGTCAGTTTGGGGCGAGAATGGGGATCAGGACGGGGCTGGTGAGGGCAAGCCTTTATTTATAGAATAGGGACAGAGATCACCCTTATGGAGAGGGGAAAGAAAGTGGGGTGTGGAGTTCCCGGGACAGCAGCTGTGGGTAAGGATATGCCCTCACTGTGAGGCTCAGAACAGTCAGCAAGACTAAAATATTAATTAGGAGGTAACTTCAGGAGGAGTTCCCAGAACTCTGCCGTCCCCCAACTCATGAGACCTAGGTCACCAACCATCTACAATACTGGTCACAAATCCCGTTCAAAATATTCTGAAAACTGCATTGGTGGAGGAGGATTTCATTCGCCCGTAAAAGTGACTGCATCCAAGGAAGCTTTAATGTTCCCCCCGGGGAGTATCAACCAAGGCAGGGCATCAGCCCAGGCCTCTCTGGCACGCCTGGACCTTCTCCTAAGGAGAAGGAGGAGGGGCTTGCCGGGGCCTCGGTTCCTCGCGGGTGCGCAGGGGCAGGCTGGTCCTGCGTGCGCGCCAGACGCCCAGGAGCCCTAACGGTGTGTCCCGCTTCTCTGCCCGCAGAGCCCCTCGGCGCGGACCCGGACACGCTGCGGGCGGGCGCGCGCGGCTTCACCGGCTGCCTCTCCGCCGTGCGCTTCGGGCCCGCAGTGCCTCTGAAGGCTGCGGCGGGGCCCGGAGCCCCGGCGCGGGAGGCCACCCGCCCTCTCGCCGGCGATGCAGGTGTGTGGCTCGCTCCATCTCCATCCCCTGCGCCTGCACTCGCTTCGCGCGCCGGCAGGACTATGCTCAGAGCCTCCATGCCAGGTTTCCCAGAGTCCTCAACTCATCTTCTCACTCCTCTGGTCTTTCCATTTCTTGGTTCTTCGCTTCAAATTCGTGTCTGTCGCTGCACTATCTGCTCCTCTTTCAGGCGTTTGTGGGTTTCTCAGAGCTCCTTTCCACTCTGTCACTCTCCCGTTTTCTGCTGTAGGGCGTTCTGGACCAGCCGATGCGAGGCAGCCCCTAGTTAACGCGGACGGAGGGGACTCCGCGGTCATCGGAGGTAACGGCCGCGAACGACCTCTTCCTGGTTCTGCTGTCGCCGTTAGCAAAGTCAGGAAAATGAGGATCCGTGAGGATTGTCGGGCAATGGCAGACCACGCACATTTGCTGATGTTCTTGCTGTAACTGAACCGAACTCAGCTCCCTTGAAGAGGCTTTGTAGAAGGAACTGATGGCTCCTCCTTTTAAAGGATGGTTGCAAACTATAATAATAAGAGGTGTTTCACTTGAAAATAGTCATTAGTTTCTCTCAGAATGGATGCATATTTAAGACACATTTACTTTTACTTCTTTGATGTAAAATAGCCATTGGTCAGCCCCTTAGCCCAGAACACTTAAAAATAAGATTAAAAATAAAACATAAAGTAGCATTGACATATATACACTACTGTGTGTAAAATAGCTAGTGGAAAGCTGCTGATTCACCTTGTCATATAATAGAAACTAACACAACATTGCAAAACAATTATTCTCTAAATTTGAAAAGAAAATAAATTTTATTTTAAATAAAATTTAATTTTATTTGAACTAAAAAATGCAACATTTTACAGGAGAAGCACCTAAATTATACAAATTGTCATTTACCTAAACATAAAGATATAAAACTGTATCTAGCATCAAGCTTATCTTTCGGCAGAGAAATAGGTAGCTATCTATCTATCTAGACTGATAGATATAGATATCCATTAAGTAAATCCATTCATATATATGTGTGTGTATATATATATATATGAAGAAGTAAAAGTAATTGCACTTTAAATATCTTCTGTTATATACCCTATTTATCCAGGTAGGGCTCAAAAATTAATATTCAATTCTCCCTCCTTACCATTCAAAGAACATTTTAATTTGCTTAACTAGATTATGGAAATGTGAGTCAGGTGCCAACTCTGCCTGGTGAGTGGAAGTAAACTACTGTCCATTCTCTGCCACCTCAAAGTGAGGTGATTGCTCCCAGAGGTGGGTGATTGGACTGGGGTCTACTGTTTAGGCCAGCTACACACCTGCTCAGATTGGATCTGCCTGCATTTATTAAGACACCAGGTTTCTCCAGACAACTAGTGAATTATTCAGACATTTTAAAGTGCTGATCAAATCTATGTAAGAATGTCATTATTTCCATTTTTGTATCAATTACTTTTATTTTTGTAAAGAGTGGGGAATATGACCTCCATCTTATAACTCCAAAAACAAATAAAAACCATAAATATTATTTATAATGCATATCCAAAAGGAACAACTTTCTTGTAAACATTTAAATTCTTAATCCTAAATCATTCTGATTTCTTTTTAATGAGAAAACTTCACTATAATGTCAAAGTTAAGTGAAAATAAATCAACTTAAATGTGATTAATATTCACAAAGTAGGAACCAAAGTTCAAAATTTTGCAAATTATCATAGTTTGTGCCCTTTTATTAGAGAGAACAAAGGTAAAAGTCAAATTGATGAAAGAACAAAGATGTGGTCCTTAGTTTTATTGCCTGCATGTGTGTGTACTCAGTCGTTCAGTCGTGTCCGACTTGTTGGGACCCCATGAACTGTAGCTGGCCAGGCTCTTCAGTCCATGGGATTTTCCTGGCAGGAGTACTGGAGTGGGTTGCCATTCCCAGGAATTGAACCCATGTCTCCTGCATCTCCAGCATTGGCAGGCAGATTCTTTACCACTAACAGAGTTGTATTGCTTTTGCTAAAGATCACTGGCAAGATGTACAAAGTAAGTTACGCTAGTGTCACTCCCCTGGGAATTCCCTTTTGGCCCCTGATACACGGGAGCCAAGCACAGAGGGTCTTAGGGGCAGAGGGTGCAGTTTCCTGGACCCTACGATGTACCTGGACCTGCCTCCATCTGTGTGGTTTGTCAGTTACTGAGCACCTAAACCTCCCGTGTTTTGTTCCTGAAAGAACTATCAGGGTTTTAAAAAACTGATCCCAGACTTCACTTTTGTGTGAAATATTTGATCTGTTTACAGGATTATCCCAATAGGTGAATTTCTCCATATTCTGCATTTTGCATTTCTATTTTCTCCCCTGTAAACAAAGGAAGCACTAGGAAAGGAGTATTAACCTAATCAATATTCAAACCTGATAAACCAGAGATCACAGAGTATTTCTTGCCAAGCAGTCTATCCTGTGGATGGGCAGATGGATGGATAGAGAAAGATACAGACATGTAGATAGAGACACGGACAGGCGTGAGCACTTGTCAAAAACACATTTACACTGGAGTTGCTGATAGGAAGGTTATGGAAGCCATCAGATGTGTTCTTCAGGTTATCTCAGCTTCTTCAGATCGAGGGTGGAGATGGAGGTTATTCTAGGATCCCACCAAACCTCAAAGCAGAAACAAGGTAAGTTAGAGGTGATCTATCACACACAGAAAATCCTGGATGTATAGGTGGGTCAGTGTAGTGGTGACAGTGGTCATATAATCACTGGTTTGATCACTGTTACTGAGTTAGTGGTCCCTGATACTAAAATTGGATATGATATAGCTCTTAAAACAAAGATCTATGACTAAACATAAAAATAATTAACTCTGTCATTGACTCTCACATGAGATGGAAAATATATTGAAAGTAATGAATATTCTACTTGTGAATGAATATTTAAGAATATTCATAGAGTAATAAATATGCTACTTCTTCTCAGCTAAGGAGTCTGGTTCCTGATAGCATGTGCTCAGGAATCTTTGTGACCAATTGCACTCAACCAAGCTTCAAGTTTGTTGGGCTCCATCACACTTGCTTAAATCTGTCCCAGAGTATAATAAAGAAACTTCATTTTGCAACACAAATTTTGATTTACATAACTAAACACTAACGTGTGTTTGCTTACATTTGTTAATTGGAAATGCTAATTAATGCCTGTGCCAATCATCTTAAAACTATATTGACTAGTGAATGTTCCTTTTTGCCTGTTTCAGGATGGATTGGATATTTATTCTTCTGTAATGTGATATAGCTTGACTTAACATCCTGATGGCTTAGCTTGATGGTGCATTAAAATAATCTGTGAAACTTTTGAAATAATACTGATACCACAGCTTCCCACCAAAAATTCTGTTATCATCTACTACGTAGCCAAGGTTGAGAACCACTGGCAAAGTTAACGTCTTCAATACTTAAAACATTCCCAACATGAGAAATGATTTACTTTCCATATAACTGAATGTTACTAATATTTCTACAAATTTTTATAATATAGAATATTAGTTATCAATTGCTGCATGACAGATTATCACCTATTTAGCAACGTAACACAATCCACGTGTGTTATTCCTCAGTTTATATGGGTCAGGAGTTTGGATACATCTCAATCAGGTCCTCTGCTTAGGGTCTCACAATCCTGAAATGAATGTGTGTCATTTGGGATCTTGGGCTGGGGTCACATTTGAAGTTCCCACTGGGGATGGAGCCTGTTTCGCTTGCATAGATCGTTGGCTGCACTCATTGCCTTGCAACTGTAGCGCTGAGCGCTTCTGGATTTTCGCTAGTTCACAGACAGAGCTCCTTGGCACGTGGTGGCTTCCCAGCATGGCTCTTGCCACCTCAGAGCCAGCAGGAAGAAGGACACTCCAACAGGACAGGTGCTGCAGTCTTATGTAACATCATCATGTAATCATGTACAAATAGTCAGGTACAGACCACCAGCTTTGGTCAGAAGCAAGTCACAGGGGGGTCACACAAGAGTGTAGACCTCCAGAGCCAATAATCACTTAAGACTCTCTTGGTCTCGTAGACACAGATGAAATATACACCACATTATTGTAGTTCAACTGTATATCAGCATAACAGTTTAATCAAATTTTCATTAAAACAGGTAAAAATTTGGCCACTTGATGCAAAAAGCTGACTCATTGGAAGAGACTCGGATGCTAGGAAAGATTGAGGTGAAAGGAAAGATGGGTCAGCAGAGGATGACACTGTTAGATAGCATCGTCAACTCAGTGGACATGAATCTGAGCTCCGTGGTGCCTCAGGTGGTAAAGAAGCTGCCTGCGATGCAGGAGACCTGGGCTCGATCCCCGGGTCAGGAAGATCCCCTGGAGGAGGGCATGGCAACCCACTCCAGTACTCTTGCCTGGGGAATCTCCACGAACAGAGGAGTCTGGCGGGCTACAGTCCATGGGTCGCAGAGAGTCGGACACGATCGAGTACCTGAGCGCTCTGGGAGACAGACCAGCACACGGGGAGGGTGGAGGAGCTGTCCCAGCACACGGGGAGGGTGGAGGAGCTGTCGCGAAGAACCGGTCACAACTTAGCAACGGCGCAACAGCGGCAGAGCATTTAATCACTCTGCGGGAGCTGCACAGTCTATGCCTTTTAAAAATAGAAACCCGCCTACTCGGTTAGCCGTGCATGTTGGACCTAAGAGGCCCGTGTGCTTCTGCACTTTAGTGTGAAGGCATTAGCTGGAATCCAATCAGACATGTCTTTGGAGTTAAGGCATAAAACCTCTGTGTCTGCATGGACTTAGGAGTAGCCTTAATGTTATAATATTACTTGGTTTCAAATTTTCTGATGATAAATGGTGCTAAGGTAGATTCTAGTTAGGCTGACATTTGCAGTTTGTAATCCAACTTTGTATTTTCCCTTCTCTCTAGGTGTGATAGCGGTTGTGATATTTATTTTGCTCTGCATCACTGCCATTGCTATACGCATTTATCAACAGAGATGGCTATACCAAAAAAATGAAACAAATATTCCAAAAACTGGAGACAATGCTGAAACTGCTCTGAAAAGTGAGCTCAACATGCAAAGTACAGTCAATGAAAGCCAGAAAGAGTATTTCTTCTGATCTGCGGTTGTGATTTACTGGTCACTAACTATGACGATGTGACTTTCTTGCTAAGCCAGGGGCTCCCAGTGGATGAAACCCACCTGTTGTCCTTCTGGGACAGGCGGTGGGGGTCCTGCGCCATCAGCTTGCTCACAAACAGTCCCTGGAGGCTCTGCTCAGGCTCCTTCCTGATCCATCGATGTAACAGTGATTCGGCGTGCTCATTCATCACTGATTGGCAGTTTCTGACTGTTCTGACTTGATCTTCTAACTCTCTTAAAAATACAACATGGAGGTTTATCAGCATTGGACTATGATGTTTTATGTTACATGGAAACCTACAGGAAGCTTCCTTTATCAATCACTTGCTGACATTTGTAAACTAGGAAGTGCTTCTCAGATGGCCTTCAGCTGCATTTCCATATTCCTGTGAACCAGAGCCCATTGGCCAAACATTGGAGAAAGCATGTTTTTGGCTGATTGTTTTTCCTTTTGTGTCTTTTAAATCAGTTTTGATACACTTTAATAATGAAATGAGTGTTGAACGTCAGCTAAGAAATTCTACTATTAAGTTCAGATGTGGAACAGAGAATTCATGGGTAGAAAAATGTGTAAAGGATTTTAGTCTGTGATAATTTGCTTATTTTTCTTTGTGATTTGTCATTATATTCTTTGTAAATAGTAATAAGGATCACATAGTAATCTCACAGAAATGTTTATTTTCTAACTAAATTTGTGCCCATGTATAAATTCCATATTTAACACTGGAAATGTATCCATCCACATCTGAATGAAATATAATCCTAAATTTGTTTCCTTTATACATGGGATGGTTAGGTCACTTTTCTTTGCAGTCCTGTGATTTTTTTTTTTTTTTCTGGAGGTTGTAACAACTCTTTGCTTTCCTGTGACTGTATGTTCATGTGTTAGGGAATAAGTCACATTTTAAACTAAATCTCTCCATTTCCCTTTCTAAATTGTGAGCTTATCTAGGCAAAACATTCCTTGAGTTACCTTCTCACCTAGCTACTATTTGGAATATTAGTGGAAGAATGCTTATGCTAAGGGAAAATGCAAGCTATATGATCTGAACTAAATCTGTCATTTCAGGCAAATTCTAGGATCTTGAGATCTATTTCCAATAGAGCACCCCAAATCGGCTAGTTCATTTTAAGTAGGGTATATTTGAATATTAGGAGAGCAGAAAATCATATTAACTGTGAGAACTTACCCAACCCCCACTTTTGTAGCAGTGGTCATTAGACACTCACATGACGCCACCGTTCACACTGAAAAGCCGGTCATAATAAAAACGCACTGCCCTCGCCACCTCCCACTGCGTGTGCCTGCCAGGTACTGACTTTGACCACAAAAAGAACACTTGGAATTAGGTGTATTTTGCTGTGCTATTACCTTTTGTGTGTATACCTACTTTTCTGTGTTCTTTTTAATGAATGGGAAAAGATATCCTCTATATTGTTTTTTCTCAAACATTTTTTCTTATATTTTCTTATATTAATTTTCTATAAGGTATAAAAAGCTACCACAAATTTAACACAATACACATTTATTTTCTCACAGTTTCTGTGTCAGGAGCTAGGCATGGGTTTACTGAAACTTTNCACATTGATTGGGACGAGTCCCAGGTCCCACGCATACTAAGGGGAGGGATTATATCAAGACAACAGCTGAGATCATGGAGACAACTTTAAAGTCTATCTGCCACAACACTGTATCCATACTGATGTTTATTTAAATGGTGAAAGAAGTTTAGGATCTCGATATAGCAATATATAAAGGACTACTTTGGTAAATGGTATGTGTAGGCTTTTCCCAAAGGTCTGTATAGTTTGGGGAAGGATTCAACATAAAAATTATAGGCTCCATTAAACACATAGCTGAGTGTAAACATCATTAAGTTATAGCAACTTTACAAGTGATCGCTTCATGTTCCAAAAGAATGCATCACTTTGGTACCTAAATTTTACAGATTTCTAGATAGTGAAATCCACTGCACTCTGATCTCTTTTCTAAAGGGGAAACTTTAAAATATTTTTACTGAATTTCAGTGATGCACCATCCATATTCCCTGACTGATTTGTAAACTTTTCCTGCTTATTTGTGTAAAAAAAAAATTGAATTAAATTAGAAAAATATTTTTAAGAGTTGAATGAAGTTTGAATTATGAAATTATATTGTTTCTCCCCTAAGATATTAAAAAATGTGTGAATGTATGCATTCTGTACTGGTGTGTATATTCCTTTATCTCTACTTATTGTCTATATAGGGAATCCTGTGATCTGTGAATATTATTTATGATGGTATTTAGCTTATCATATGAAAAGTGAGACACAACATAGTTGATACTTACTGACTGCCACAAATGGGGGCTTCCCACATGGCAGTGGTGGTGAAGGGCCCACCGACAATGCAGGAGACCTAAGAGGTGCAGGCTCGATTCCCGGGCAGGCAAGATGCCCTGGGTGCGGGCAGAGCAGCCCGTTCTAGTGTTCTTGCCCGGGGCCAGGGACAGAGGAGCCTGGTGGGCTACAGTCCCTAATGTTACAAAGAGTCGGACATGAGTGAGTCGACTTAGTACTCACGCACAAATTAAAATACCTATAAATGTAGATATTCAAAACTTTGCCAGAGAATCACAATTTAACAGTCAGTAAGTTATTTGTTGAATGTTTGTACTCAAAACTGGTTAAATATGATTTACCCTAGACAGTTGGTTTCTAGAGCACTAATTATATATACAGATGTCAGTTGCAAACAGTTCAAAGATAATAAGTCCTCAAGTTTTATTTTCAAATAGAAAAGGAAAATAGCATATAACTAGCACTCATTATTAGGACTAGAACTTAGGAATTCTTGTTTACCTCATTATGACGTGAACCCCTCCCTCCCGCTATTACCTCCCCAGTATTATTTAGTAACTTAGACAAACATATTGGGGCATTTATATTCTATTTGTCTAAGTAAACACTAGACAATTTTTTCACTTGCTTTCGTATAAAACATTTGATAGATGATAACTTTCAATGGATTTTTGAAAAGTAAAAAATGGTAATCACGGTCCTTACCTTGAAAGCAGACAAATATAATAGAAGCACTTTCCATCTAATATATGTTAAATCCAACTATGCAGTTGGATTGTCAAACCATGCTTTAAACAGAGAGGATGAAATGGACATACGTTAAATAAAAACATATTTAGTGGGTGTTTTGCAATCCAGTACAACAATGTTTGAGTCCCTCCATGCCTTGAATAGATCCTGGCTGTCTTTTTCCTTTTTTAAGTGTGGCTTATGGTAAATGGCAACGTGGAGGAAAGAATGAAAAAGAAAGTGATAGACGTGAAATGCCTGCACACAAAGTGGAGGGGACAGGGATTGGTGTTTCTGTGTACCAACAGCCAGACTGGAACCCATGGGTGTGTTAACAGGCTGAGGGAGATGATAGATTTTATGCACATTGAAAATAACTTACTACTTCAGTTGAACAAAAATATTATTAATGGGATAGATCTATGGACTACCTAAACATACATGCAACTACTACCACTTTTCGAGAGCGTGAAAGTATTCATAAACACTGGTTTAGCAAATTTAAATTCAGAGAAAGAATTGAGCTTTTATAAGAAAAAAAATTTCTTATTCTCAGAATCATAGAGATTGTCTATCGACAGGAGAATCATCAAATATCCTTCCATCTGATCCTTACCTCTCCCTTTGCAGGCTTTCTATGCTATGTTAAATAAAAACATATTTAGTGGGTGTTTTGCAATCCAGTACAACAATGTTTGAGTCCCTCCATGCCTTGAATAGATCCTGGCTGTCTTTTTCCTTTTTTAAGTGTGGCTTATGGTAAATGGCAACGTGGAGGAAAGAATGAAAAAGAAAGTGATAGACGTGAAATGCCTGCACACGAAGTGGAGGGGACAGGGATTGGTGTTTCTGTGTACCAACAGCCAGACTGGAACCCATGGGCGTGTTAACAGGCTGAGGGAGATGATAGATTTTATGCACATTGAAAATAACTTACTGCTTCAGTTGAACAAAAATATTATTAATGGGATAGATCTATGGACTACCTAAACATACATGCAAATACTACCATTTTTCGAGAGCATGAAAGTATTCATAAACACTGGTTTAGCAAATTTAAATTCAGAGAAAGAATTGAGCTTTTATAAGAAAAAAAATTTCTTATTCTCAGAATCATAGAGATTGTCTATCGACAGGAGAATCATCAAATATCCTTCCATCTGATCCTTACCTCTCCCTTTGCAGGCTTTCTATGCGAGTCTAAGTTGCTTCTTCCACAGCACCATCATTAATGTGTAACTCGGTCTGGTTGCCCGAGCCTTGCTTTGCTATACAAGTGTTCATGGATGTAGCTTCTGCTAGTCTCCACTGCAGATTTCATCAGGGCATCAGCCTTCACTGTGTGCTGTGACTCAAGTAGAAGAATGGATTTTGTTTTAGAAGCTGGGTTCGTGTGACTGAGGTGCACGGCAGGGTTTATCGCACGTAGATCACATTGCTGGGAAAGTGAGCTGAATTGCTACTTACTATGAAACTTGTGTTTCAAAACTACTAGGAATATAATGCATTCGCCAGCCTTTGAGTATGACTGAAAACTGATGCATGCCCCATTTATTTGTCATTGTTTGTGCTGTGTGCCGTGCGTGCTTAGGCGCTCAGTCGTGCCTGACTCTGGGACCCCATGGACTCTAGCCCGCCAGGCTCCTGTCCGTGAGGTTCTCCAGGCAGGAACACTGGAGCAGGTTGCCGCACCCTCTTCCAGGGGTCTTTCCCGACCCAGCACAAATAGAGGTTGGTGAGTCCAATGCCCAGTAAGGCCAAACAAACCAAGGTTCTGGAGCAGAGTGAGGTTTACTGCACGGTCATGCAAGGAGATGGCTGGCTCATTCCCACACCCCACCACCCCCCATCCCCCCAAAACACCCAGATCCCTGAAGGGTTTTAGGAAAGCATTTTTAAAGGCAAGTTGAAGGAGGGGCATGGTTAGTTTTTGCAAACTTCTTGGTGTCAGAATCCTTTGTTCTTGAAACTCCCCATGTAGGTCAGGTCATGATGTTCCTCTAAACCTCTAGCAATACAAATGTTATTCTCTATTCTGCGACTTTTTATCTCCATATAAATGGATAAGTGTTTTTTTCTTTAAGGTCAGAGCCATGAGAATATGTGCTATCCTGTGTGTTTCAGGCTATAGGTACCATCTTTTTACAAAAGATGCAGAGCCAGAGTGACTATGCACAGCCAACAGAGCACAAAGGAACAGATCTAATACAGAGTGGATTTGTTTTCCTCTATTGCAAGAGGATGAGATGCTGGCTTCAGAGGTTATCATTGACTTTGTAAACATAAATGCTCAGATCTAAACCCGCCTTTAGATTTGAAAAATGAAATCTTGTAATCTACTAAGACTTAAGAAACTTCTTAACATGGAACATCTATAACTGAGTGTAGCACTTTGTATCACTACTCTTTGACTTTAATCCCTAACACCAACCAATGGCAGACAATATTTATAATTGTCTTCTTCTTTACAGATCAAAAAACCTGCAGCACAGGGCTTTCATTGCTTAGATAAGTGCCACACAGATAACAAATTACTGACGGACAGGAGAATGCAGGTTTTCACACTTCCAACAGTTGACTTGCTCTCATTTTCTGCAGCAAGTAAATATAATCCATGGCTAGATTTCTCTTTTGTTTGAAGATATGATTTATATGTCTAAAAATGTGAAGTTCAAACTATTCTGCCTAAAAACACACTTGCATAGTCACACCACACACACACACATATGACTTACTGGTGTCAGATTTGTGCTTTTAATGTTTCCTAGAAGGTTTTATGTGTATAGAGAAATACTGGTGTTTTCTTTAACTCTCAATATTTTAACCACATATGAACCCATCAAGCAGAATTTTTCTGAATATCATATACACAAATACACAATACACAAATTAGTTTGTAAATATTAGCTTTATAAATAAAATTACTTTAAAAATTGCTTTATAAATAAAATCAGGCTGACTAAAGCCATCGTCAAATTACCTTAAGTATTTTCTTAGAATGTTTAATCTGTCAGTTTCTCCTAAATTTTTAAATTAACCTTAAAACCAGAAAAAAAAAGAATACTCAAATTAAGAAGTGATTTGAAAATTTTGGTAACATTTACGCCCAATCCATTACAAACCCATTGATAATGGGGTTTATACTCATTTGTATTGTTTTCAATGTATCTGCTTTGCTAAAGTTTACAGCAATATGTATGCTCATACCTTCTAGAAGATTTAACAATTTGCTTCATTTAAAATAAAAATACATTCTCTCAAACAAGCCAGGGTGGAAGCTTTCAGCTGCCAGCCAAGGATTCTTGGCCAGGATGTGCACTGGCTGCATCTTTCAGGATCTGTGAAGAGACTGTGAATTAATTATCTTGTCATGCTGTTTGACCTGATATCTATTTAGTTAATCTATGTGAATTTCAGAACCTCTGTTTTGGGGCCAGAAATTACTTTCTAAGAAAACTTATCATAATTCCATTTATTCAGCCTT